TTAATTATCTTATTATTTATATTAATTAATAATTATTGTTATTAATTATATTTAATAATTTAATTAAATTAATAGCTTAAAATATAATATTTAAAAAGTGACCATGCCCGTCAAATGAGTGCTAGAGACTCAAAGGGAAGAAGGGGCATGGTTATTGTGGCCCCACTTTGTTAATATCACATAAAATGTGTAATAATCATGTTTATTTTAATTAATTTTATTAATTTATGAATTTATAAATTTTATTTTATTTATTTAATAATAAATATTAATTATTTCATTTATTAATAATTATAATTATCAACTATTTATAATAATCCAACATTATTTTTGGTTACTTAAACAAAAGTTCGGGCGGTGATAACGGTTCCCGGAAGAAGGGCGTGTTTAGCGTGGACATGGGATGGGACAATTCTATGGGTCTTTCTTCTTTGTCCCTTCAAACAGAAAGAGGTTTTCAGATGTCCTTGTTTCAGTACCTTGAGCCTCGCGGATCCTTTGTCATTTTTCTTTATAATTTACATTTCTTTTTCCCTAAAAGGTATTCGGTTCCATCTTTTTAAGTTGTTTTTGTGTAACATTTATATTAATTTTTTTTATATACTTTGATTGTATAATAAAAAATAATTATTTTTTATTTTTTATTTCATTTCATTCGCATGTTGTAACTTGAATTTAAATTTTTTTTATTTTTAATAAAAATAGTTGATAACTGAATTACTTATGTCGTTGACTATTGTTTCTCTAAAAATTCTCTAGTGATCTCACACATATGAAATTTGGATATAAACATTCCACTTATTTTGCTGAAAGTAAGAAAAGAAAAAATGAGGACTTTCCCAATGATTCTCTCATTCCTCACGGTCGACTTCCTTATAGATGACGGGAAATACGTTTGATTAAAATTAAAATATGCACCTACAAATGATTTGCTAGAGGAAAAAATACCTTTTTGTAAAATGGATTATGAAATCTGCCTTGAACAACTTAAAGAACTTAAACATTACTATAAATTAAAGTTAACAAATTCTAATTAAACTAAATAGCATACAATTTAAAGTAAATTTATGAGAACAAGATGTACCCAAAATAAATTAAACATGTTTATTGTTAAATTAAAATGTTATCTGTTAACATATCTAGAAATTAAACTACTACAGAATTGGAGATTCTACCATAATTGAAACTAAAACAAACATAAACAGAAATTAAATTAACATGCTTGAAGTTGAAAAGAAGCGTAAACGCCATATAAGTAATCATTGATGAAATGTTATTTATCATAAACATTAAACTAATTATAGATAGAAAAGGAACAGTACCTTGAATAAATTTAAAAGATTGAAGTTCATTGCATGAAATGAAATCGTTGAAGCAGATACATGAATTAATTTATCTACTGGAATGATGAAAAACAACATAAATCTATTGGAAATTGTGCTGAAATCTAAAATCTAGAAGCAATTGTAGAGAAAATGAAAGTCTAAAAATTTGCAGGTGTTTGAGTAGAACTAGCCGTCTCTTTCCTTTTCCAAAATTTTCCTTTTTGTTCTTCTTTTGTTGGCTATAACCTCCACTTTCTGCAGTTACAAAATTATTAGTAGTTTCCTGAAGTAATGGGACAACCTAACAATTGATTTGGTCAGAACTTCCTCTAGATTTTTGCCACCTTTCTTATAAAATAAAACCCTTTTTAAATGGAAATTCCCTCTAAAATTTAACCCAAAAAAACCTTTTTTTTTTAATTTTAAAGAGATAATTATACAATAAAATCTCATATTTTTCTCTTCTTTTTGACCAAAATGACAGTTGATCTATCATGAAACCCATAAAAACAAATCTAACACAACTTAATATATTCCATCCATTTAAAAAATTTACACGTGACATTATCTCAAAACTTTACAATTTATAATGTAAACAATTATATTGATATAATTTAATTTAATAATTAAATATGATAAATATAAAGAATTAATTTTTTAATAAAAAATTTTACTAAATAATTTCATCTCAATAAAATTTTTTCTCATATAAATTTAAAAATTAGTTAAATGCGATTTTAGAATTAATTTTTAAAATAACTTAAATAAAATTTTTGAAAAATGACGCGTAGGCTCTTAGCGTTGCCAAATAGTCCCATAAAACAGCCAAAGTACACGCTTATAGGGTGCCTGTTTGCGCAGGAAAAGAGATTGTCCTTTCAATCACTGTATCAGATACAAGGACAAATACAATTACAGAAGAAAATTGTAAACAGAAAGGAAAATTATTGCCTTCATGGGTACTCTTTCTTTGCTTTACTTTTTCTTTTCTTCCTTTTTATTTTTTTTTATTTTTTTTTAAGAATCTAAAAGGATACTCTTTCTTTTCTTTCTTTATTTATGCAAAGAGGAATTTCATAGATTAGTGACTGATGACTATCTAATTGGAATAATGCAATGTTTAAAGATGAGATTTAAGAGTACTAGGAATTCAGTTTTTGAAAGTTGAAAATTTTAGAACTTGGAAAGGAAGAGAATTCCCATAATGCCATACCTAACCTCTACTCATTCATATTCATGATGGTTTTCTTTTCCATTCTTTGAATTGATTTTGGTTCCTTTCCAACCATGCTATAAAGAGTGGTAGCCCTAAGGATAACAGTGCCATATACAGTAAACAGATAAGTGTCGTCAAAGGAAAATAGTACTATTAAGAACTTCAATTTTGG